CCCCAAAACCCCAAAACCCCAAAACCCCAAAACCCCACAAAGGTCTGAGAGATAGAATTTGAAGATAATAAATAGGTTGAATACTTAACTTATATTCCAACTTGTGGCTACGATGTCATTTTGACCAAGGCCAAAGCCTCCAAGGTCTTCATCTGAAGCTTCTCTCTCTTTTGTGTCTTCTTGTTGGTTGATAAACATGATGTCGCTTTGTTCATTGGTGATGATGTTATATTCTGCTTCAAGGTTTTTAACTTTAGTTTCAAATCCTTCGACATATCATTCAAACAAAGAAAATGATCTATGGTTGAATAGTTCAAAATCGATTGGTGTAAGTTGGTATATCGAGATTAATGACTGTATTTTCTTAATCAATTTCTTTGCCTCAATCGACCTTATTTCTTTCAAATGCGGAATGAATTCTTCCTCTAGTTTATATACCATATTTCACATGTAGTCCACATTGTCAAGGATTTTAGAGGTATTTTCTACCTCCATGAGGATCTTCTCGGCTCTTTCGAACCAGAAAGTATCTTTTAGCTTTGTACTCCCCTTTTTCTGAAGCATTTCAGAAGGTTTTATCATTCTAGCTCTTTTCCAAGACGAATTAGGACGTGTCATATCGTCTGTAAAACCTCCGGAAGACCCAGTAGAACCACCAATTTCATGGTAGCCTCCGATAGCGGTTGCCGGGCGGATCAGCTGAGTAAAATCTTTGTGAGTGCTGTTAGAAAATTTCTCGACATCTTCTATATGAGCTTTAAATTTAGCCTTCTCGCTATTTAACTTGATCTTGTTAAAACTTGTCTGAGTAGAGCTCATTGAATTATCAATAGATTTAAGTCCTTTCCCTAATGCAGTCATTGTTCTCATGAAGCTGTGCTTTGAAGGTTTTTGAGACATCATTAAATCTTTTAAGAAAAATCCCTGCTCAAATTCTTTATTAGTAATTTTTCAATAATCTAAAGTTTGGTTCACCTGCTGAATGTTTCCAGAACATGTCATTATTTTAGAAATTTTGAACTCCCCTTTCATCTTTGTTAGTAGATGTTGGTACATATGGTCAAGGAAGTTAACGATCCTCACCTCTTTGTAGAAATTAGACTTCTCGTATATACTTTTTATGGACCCCATAAGACCCTCGATCGATTCTGCTATTTGTTTCCAATCTCCAGAGTAAAGCTTATCTACAGACTTTAGTGACAGGAGGTATTTATTATTCCACTTAGCTTCCTTCATTGCTGCCCAAATTTTCTCTCTGTAATATCTAAACTCTTTAGCATCCCTGAGATGAGCCTCCTGGATAACTTGAAGAGTAGATTCAATAAATGAAGATTTACATTCCCTTCCAGCTGCATCAAGAATATTGGAAAGTTCAGTCCAATACTTTATTTCTCCCTTCATACCTTCTTGCATCTTGGAGAGCCGGGTTATGAGCTCTTTTAAGTTCTTAGTCCAACTTTTTAACTGTAAGTAGAGTTGCTCGCTATGAGCAAGGTCAATCTCACAGGTAGGTCTGTGAATCCATTGGAACTCTCCTGCATCCTCAATCTTACCACTGTTCTTGGGAAGTCTGTTCATAAACCTCTTCATAAACTTGGACTCTTTCTTCTCCTTAACAGGAGAAGTCTTGACTTCTTCTGTTTGAGAAAGAAGCTCAGCCTGCTTGTTGATTACGATTGGTGCTGAAGCCTCAGATGCCTTCTCAAGAAATGTTTTAGGTGTTTGCTTTATTCTTGGGACAACAATTGCACTACTTGAAGTCACAATTTTGTCATCTCTTTTGCCACGGTTGATTGTTATGTTATTAGGCACCCTCTGGTCTCTTTTAATTAAGGACTTAGGGCTTTGTTTTCGTCGAGTAGAAGTAGAAGTCGGAGTGTCTAAAATTTCATGAATCTTCTTCAACTCAGGCTGAGCGCTCCGCAATGAATCAACCATTGATTTCCATATATAATGTGACTGAACTCTCTGGTTCCATTTCTGATTTGTTATAGCCATAGTTGTAATGTCCTTAGGTTCTAAAAATTGTAATACCCCAGAATAATGTTTATCAAAGAATTCTCCATATAATTCTTGCTGGGGTTCATCCTCTTCGCTCTCTGAAGAGCTCATTCACATTTCCAAAATGCTTTTCATTACTCTTAGCTAGATATGCTCTATTTAAATTTCAAAATATTATTAATTATGGGGTTTTGGGGTTTTGGGGTTTTGGGGTTTTGGGGTTTTGGGGTTTTGGGG